TCCACTGCAGAGGGCACGGGTTCAATCCCTGGTCGGGAAACTAAGATTCAACATGCCGCGCAGTGTGGCCCCGAAAAAAACACCAGATCCTCTGTTGCACGAGATATATTTCACAGCCTCACAGTCACATGTGGCTAGTGGCTCCGTACTAGACAACACAGACACAGAACGTTTCCATCATCACAGAAAGTTCTGTTGGTCAGCATTGCTCTACACACATCAAAGATATCATTTAGTACAACAGGGTACCAGAAAAGATGGAAGTGTTAGTGCTGATATTTAATATCTGGTATTTTCAAGTACACTGTTTTCAAACCTTCAGAAGTTATTGCAACCTGTCTTCTTGTTTTTCATTCCATGTCTGGTTTGGGACTAGGATCTGATAAACATGTTCAATAGAACCACTCTTCATGGCCTAAAAGACAGTACCTTGCATACAACAGGTGGTAATATGTTTGCTGAGTGAATTAATCAATTTCCTTAATTTTAAAAAATTTGTTTATTTATTTATGGCTGTGTTGGGTCTTCATTGCTGTGTGCGGGCTTTCTCTAGTTGTGGTGAGCAGGGGCTACTCTTCGTTGTGGTGCACGGGCCCCTCATTGCGTAGCTTCTCTTGTTGCAGAGCACGGGCTCTAGGCACACGGGCTTCAGTAGTTGTGGCACACAGGCTTAGTAGTTGTGGCTCGCGGGCTCTAGAGCGCAGACTCGGTAGTTGTGGCCCATGGGCTTAGTTGCTCCACGGCATGTGGGATCTTTCCAGACCAGGGCTCAAACCCATGTCTCCTGCATTGGCAGGCGGATCCTTAACCACTGCGCCACCAGGAAAGTCCCTCCTTGATTTTTTTTAAAAATAGAAGTTGCGGTTTCATGGGGCCAAACCTGACCAGTACCTTCATGTTCTACTAATCAGGGTGCTTACATAAAACCTAAGTTGTCCGACGAGGACTACATCACAGTGAAAATCCACAGGCAAGAGTTAGAAAGTATACTTTTGACTCTAGTTCTGTTAGTGTTTCCTTATACCATGGACAGTACACATCCCCATTCCTGCCAATTTAAACTGAACAAATTCTTTTCTCCATCCACATCTATGGTCTTAGTTCAATAAGCAGGAGAAAGGCATAAATCACTTCACTTCCTTTATATAAATAGATAGATTTACAGAAGATAAGCTTTAGACTATCTAGTGTCAACATCAAAGTGGTACGTTTACATTTAACTTCAACTGTTCTGGAGAAAAAAGCATACCTTAAAGCAATTGACTAAAAACATACAGAGAAAAGTGTCAGACCAAAAAAGCTGCTGACCTCTTCTTAGAAGAGACACTTTAAGAAACTACTCCAATATTTTCTGCATTTTTCTTCAACAAGCTCACTCAAAAAGTCAGCTTCTTACAAATAACAAATTGCTGTAAAGTAATTTGTACCTTTGACATACTAAACAGAGAGCCTAATCAAGCTACTAATCAAGTGACTTCCAAGATTAAGACTGAAACTTACAGCTTTCTGAACCTTGACCCTAACTGAGGAAAAATCCCATAGCTGGCAAAATGAATTGTTTGCATGCAAAACTTCTGAAGAAATAACAGGAAGCCCATATTAGAGGATCCAAGTCAGTTAAAAGTTTTCCCAAATAAGACTCTCAGTTCTGCACAGAATTAAAGGCCTGTGTTCAAATTGAACACTTGTATGATCCTGGGCAAGTCACTTAATCCCTCTGCCCCTCATTGTTCTCAAATGTACATGGAGATAATAATTCATAACTCAAAAGTTTTCTGCAAGATTTAAAATCCTAAGAAGAGGGACTTGCCTGATAGTGCAGTGGTTAAGACTCTACACTCCCAATGCAGGGAGCCTGGGTTCGATCCCTGGACTGGGAACTAGATCCCACATGCATGCTGCAACTAAGGAGCCCGCCTGCTGCAACTAAAACCCGACACAACCAAATAAATAAATAAATAAATATTTTAAAAATAATAATAATGAAGAATAAATAAAATAAAATTCTAAGAAGAATTTCATTTTAACGTAAGCCATTTAGTCTGGACACACCATAAATCAGGTTAATTTCTCCTTTGCTTAGGGCCCACAAAAAATATTCCCACAAAAAATTTACTTGTTGGACAACTTTCCCTCTCGAGACTTCCTCATTTTTTTTTAAAATTAAACTATTTTAGTAAAAAAAAAATTCACTGCAAAACTGAACTCACAACAGAGAAAATACATTTGCACACTTATCAACTGTGTCTTTTTTTAATATCACAGAGCCTTAGGGATAGAAAAGTCATTGAATATATAGTACTACATTTTATTGTTCTAAGATGTACATTCACATTTTAATACCCCTGAAACTGACATATTACAATCGACAGCAACTTACAACAATAACTGACAGCGTCTTCTTTCTTAGCAGTACAAAAAATAGTGGTAAATCTTAAAATCAGTGCTATCTAAGATTTAATGAAACATGGTATTTGGAATCCCCAGGCAATCTGTCAAGTAGGCAAATAAAATTCTGCCTAGCTACTCTAAGAGTATGTAAACTATAATGTGAGTGTGTATACACAGAAAATTCTTCAAAATATTAGAAATGAAAGTGGTAGTGGAATTTAGGGTGACTTAATTCCTTTATAACTTTCCATGGTTGTATGTTCTTTATAATAAACATGTATTTTTTAATCGGAAAAATACAATTTTCATTCTGAAGAAAAACTAGATGGGGTGTGTTAATATTATTATGGCTCTTCATAGATTCTGGGAACATTTAATAGTTCATGGAGCATTTCTTTAGGATAAGTACAGAACAGTTAATGTTTAATTCACTGTTTCAAAGTGGTCAAGATCAACATGTAAAACTGCATTAACATCAATGTTACTGATGCTGCAATTTTAAATTCCCATTTTATGATTATATCAAATTAAATTGCCTGTTTTTTTATAGGCGCATGTGAATATCTTCCACAACAAGCTGATGAATTATTAAATAGGGTAGAAATGTTACTTCAAATCAACAGAAAGTATATGGTTTTCCTAATTTCTATTGTTTAGTAGTAAATCTACACAGAATTTCACATAAAACAGAACAGATATTTTTTTCTCTATGTGAAAATTTACCTAAATGTTTGCTTTAATCATGTTGAATGTTCCAATGCTTTTTATCAGTTGAGGAGTTCAGCTTAACAATCCTCTAAGATCTGAAACTAATAGGAAAAAAACTAGGACTTCCCTGGTGGTCCAGTGGTTATTAAGACTCCACGCTTCCACTGCAGGGGGCACAGGTTCGATCCCTGGTTGGGGAACTAAGATCCTGCATGCCACGCAGCGTGGCCAAAAACAAACAAACAAAAAAATAAAAAACAACTAACAGGAAAAAAACTAAAAGTAGAAAATGGAATTAAAATGTCAAAGTGTTTCTACCGCTTCAAAATTGCTCTATAACTATAAAATACTCTTAAAAATATTAAACTCCTCTCAGTTTTTTAATGAGCTTTCTTTTCAAAGAAAGGACATTCTGCACAAGTCCCCAGAGCAATGAAGTATAAGTCATAAAGTAACAAAATTGATTTTTATGTGCACATGTGGGGGGTGGGGGGGGAGGTGCTTAAGAAGACCAAACAGAGAAATCAAGCCCTGGACTGTAAGCCCATGTTTTGCCTCTAAGCAACAACATATTAAAGCCTGGGCAGCTATACTGCCTAGAATTAAATCTTAGTGTAAACCAGCAAAATAAATAACTTCTGTTGAGTAAAAATCCAAATTTTGTATTTAAGCAAGTCTTTAATTCAAGTGAGACTCAGACAAGTTAAAAGGAGCTTATGAGTATGAAGTAATGTCATGATATATGAGCACAAAGGGTTTTAACAGGATAGGAAAAATGTCTATGATAATGCTTAAATGGCTGTCCAATCACCCACAGGACTGATGAAAATGGGGAAAAGGTCAAAGACCTGGGTCAAATAGATGATTAACGAAGAGAATGGAGGCTGAAAGTTAAATGTAGATAAGTGGTCTTATGCTCAATGAAAATGTAAACATAAGCCAAGTTTCTACAAAGATGCACTACAATACTGATTCATGAAAGAGCAAAGATCAGACATTTATTCTAATCCTTGAAGAAGCTAGGAAAAATCCTATTTTTAAGGAAAAGAGTAACTCTCAGGAACTACAATGACAACACGCAACCAGAAAAAAAGCAACAGTATGAAGTAATAAAAATCAAACATTCACACGATCAAAGAAATTGTGGATGATGAAATTCACGAGTAAAGATGACTTGGATTTTGGTTCACCACACAAGTGTCAATATTCTGAAGCATTTGAGATTGTGTGACACAGACAAAGCGACTGTGACTCAAAAGTGGTCTTTTCAATGTGCTAATGCTCTCGCTCCATACGCGCTTTCTAAGAGACAACTGTTGACCCACCTTATTACTCACACCTAACTCCAAATACGACTCCCCCTCAAGTCAATCTAGCTCCAGAGAGGACATCTGCCACCAGTAAGTACAGTCAAAAGAGTATATCCCCCAAGTCCCAAGAGCAATTCCGAAAACGGGTTTTTCAAAATCCAAAACAAAACAAAACTAAAGTAAACCAAAGAACCTTTAAAATAAGTATAGGCGACTAGTTTGAAAAAGACAATATTCACTTGGATATACAGTACTAGGGAATATATTAGAAACTCTCACTCTAACCAAGTAAAATGAACATGTAAGTATAGTTTGCAGAGCTTCAAAAACATACAGGAAAACCTACAGTTGCCATGGGTTTTTTTGTTTTGTTTTGTTTTTATTTCAGCAAAACATAGTCCTTCACGTCAAATTAATGTTAATTTGAATTCATATGGTTTTGTTTTTATCTATTATGTAGATCAATTTTGGTTCTTTAGTTGTATAAGTTATAAGCTAATGGAATTTATATATAACCAGTTAAAGCTCATACATATAGGACATATAATAAAAATGCCACGTTTATTTTAAACATGCATTAAATATACTTACACAGTAGCTCTTCAGTCTGATAAAATCTACAGTCATAGGTATAGATCTATCACTATTTCTGTTCAGTGCTTTGATGTAATCCAGCAGGTCAGCAAAGAATTTATAGCCCCCCTTGAGCACACAGAGGGCCACGATGTGATGGCCTCCCATCTCCTTCATCACATCTCGAGCCAGCCGTTCAGTCCTACAGAAATAAAATCAAGAATTTAATAGAAATTAAATTATATTATAAAAGGAACATTTAAACTTTACAACAAACATCCCTTAAGGATTAAACTTCGAATTCCCTGGCAGTCCAGTCGTTAGGACTCGGCACTTTCACTGCCGCGGCCCTAGGTTCGATCCCTGGTCTGGGAAACTCAGATCCCGAAAGCTGCGAGGCTCAGCCAAGCATTAAAAAAAAAAAGATTAAACTTCAACAAAACACATCCTTTGCCCCCATGAAGTATAATATCCTTGCTCATAAAGTGAAGATAAAAATTTCAAAAACCTTCCAAATCCAAGTGTACTGTTACATCTATCATAAATTTTAAAAACGCAAATTAAAATAAGATACAATTTTCACCTATCAAACCAGCAAATTCCAATAATACAATATTAGAAGAGATTGTGAGGAAAGAGCACTCTCATATACCACTGGGAGTATAAATTAATATAAACTTTTTGGAGGATAATTTGGCAGTATCAAAACATTCAATAAACACCTTCCCCTTGTCACAAAATTTCCCCGTGGATAAATTTGAGCAACTGCCCAAACATCTATAAAACGATGTTCCCTTCTAGTATGATCTGCAAAAGCAAAATAATGGAGACATCTTGCACCTAATCAATAAGGAACTGGTTAAATCAATTATGGTACAGCCAGAAAATGGAATGCCATGCAACCTTTAAAATATATGAGATAGTTCTGGATGTATTAATATGAAAAAATGCCCAATAAATTTTAGACCTATGTGATAGTAATACCCATGTGTTAAAATATATAGTATATGTACATGGCCAATGTATAGGGAGGAAATGTGTACAGCAGGCTGAGAGAACTTCACTCTTCTTGTTTAAGCCTCTATAGTTAGAATATTTTAGAATTCTAGAATATAGCTATATTAGAATAGAGTTATAATATTGATATTATAATTTTAAAATAAAAACAACAGCCAGACACACAAGGCAAGCATTTAAATAACAAGTAAAGTTTTTCACTGCAATTCATTTAACAGGAAATTTTCAAGCTAGACGTGCATAATCATCAAAATCTGACCTTGTCTTCCCGTGATTCAGCCCCAGTCCATTACCCTGTTCAGGGTTGAGAAATCAAAGACTTTGTGCCTAGAGTTCATTCTTCCAATCTCCCTTCAATATTTACTTTATTCTACTCCCTACAGATTCCCAGTATACCATGACTTATACTGGGTAATTAGTAAGCTCTCCCTTCCTCCCATTTTTGTCAAGAGGGCTTTTAAAACAGAAAGCATCTATTATGTGACAAGCTGGTCTAGTTCATGTTCAAACATCAACTACTTAAAACAGTTGCTGACACTTGAAATTAATATAAGAAAAAAACAAAATTTCAATTTAACATCGTACTAACCTGTCCATAATTAGTCCATGAGGAATAAACACCTTTTCCAAATCCTCAGCATAATGATTAGGTATACAAAATAAATCTAGGTCATAACCTGGTTCATCATCACTAATCTGAAAAAGAAATATGGCTGTTTTCAGTGAGAGCATTTCATGATACAAACACTTGATTGGATTTAGACGTTTAGAACCCTTAGCCTATCACAGAAATTTAGGTATGATATCAAGAACTTTCTGTAATTTCGTAGGCATGATAATGAATTAGTTATATAAGAAATCAACCACATGTTTTAGAGATGAATAGTTAAGATTACAGAAGTAAAATGACATGAAATTTTCTTTAGTTCAGCAGAGTAAAAGAAAAACTTTAAAGAGCTAAGACAAATGTGGCAAAATCTTGACAATATTATAAACGCGTGATGAGTATATGGGGAGCCATTGTATTATTCTCCCGACTTTTGCAAATGTTTGAAAATTAGTAAAAAATGCTTAACACAGTGTAGTCTAGCAAGTTAAAATATCACAGTGAGCAAGAAAAACTGCTGTTCCCCACCTCAAGCCCAAAGAGTCTCTCTCATCTCACAGTAGGAAAAAAAAATCACCAAAAAAGCTAAGTGATTCCTTAAAAATCCAAACTTCTAGAAGTCTGAGATTGTTATAATCAACTCATGAGATGCCTTCATAGTAGATACTCTAAGATTGTTTGAGTAGGACCACATATTGGTCGTCTTGATATGTCCAGTCCTTGTAATGCAAAATGTTTAATAACACTGATGGTGTGGTACCTGTGGTGGTAAAATGTACTATGATTACAGTTTTATAATTATATAATGGGCCTATAAACACAGAAAAAATATAACAAAATCATAAAAAACTTTTGTCTTGGGGAGGGGAGTTACAGCGATTTTATTTAGCTCTTTGTACTATATATCCCAAATTTTCTTCAGTGAGTACATATTGCTTTTTAAAAATATCAAGTCTTTCTTATAAATTATTTGTGGTAGTATGTGTTTTTATACATATATGTGAAAAGTATGGGGAAATTTTATGATATATTAAAACCAAATCTACAAACAAAAAAATTTTAATACAAAAAGCTAAAAAAAGAGGAGAGGGAGAGAGGAAGAAAGAAAGGGTGGGTATGGAAGGATATACCAAACAATAGTCAACTGTAAGAAGTGGGGACCTGCCACTTTCTACACTTTGACTTCTTTTTTTTTTTCCCACTGCCAATTTCACTTTTTAAAAAAATTATAGTTGATTTATAATTCCCACTCAGCATTATATTTAAAGCTTATTCAAAGACACAAACCACAATTCTAATACTGTCTCACATGACATTCAAGACTAAGTATCTTCCAAATCACATTCAAGAAGCTGATGACATGAACTCTGGCAGTTTGCAAGAAATACTGGTCAAACCATAATTAAATCTCACTGCATCAGTTAATATCTATTGAGTACCTCCTCCTTCAGTCAGCACTGTATTAGGTGCTCAAGGACAAGTAGCTTGGTTTTCAATAAATTTTTAAAATATATACTTAAGATACATTTATTATTCACAGAATTGATAATTATATTCTAAGAAATTTGAGGTTCACGTCATCTCTCTTTCAGTCCCAAGAGCTCTGAGTTTTCCAGACTTCGGTGGAATTTCAAGTACCATCATGTCAGACTGGTAGTAGCTGTGCACCGCTTCCGCTTGGAGCACGTGGCCAGGAGCCTGGCAGCGACTCAGGCAGGTGGACTGGGACATGCCCACAGGTAAGCTCCAGCAGCACATAGTGCACAGGCACTCGCTCGGCACGATGTGTGAAGTCAATATTGATTTGTTTTTTAAAAAACATGTATTACTTTCATATGCAGGAAAAAAAATCCTATTTTGAGGGGCAAAAGATTATGCCAGGTCCTCTAAGGTGAAGTACTAATGTATCTGCTAAACATTGTCATCAGGCTTATTTCAGAAGACATTTACTATAAAAAGAATGGGAGTGTGGAGGTTCCTTAAAAGACTAAAATAGAGCTATCATACGGCCCAGCAATCACACTACTGGGCATATACCCTGAGAAAACCATAATTCAAAAAGAGTCATGTACCACAATGTTCACTGCAGCTCTATTTACAATAGCCAGGACATGGAAGCAACCTAAGTGTGCATCAACAGATGAATGGATAAAGAAGATGTGGCACATATATACAATGGAATATTACTCAGCCATAAAAGAAATGAAATTGAGTTATTTGTAGTGAGGTGGATGGACCTAGAGACTGTCATAGAGTGAAGTAAGTCAGAAAGAGAAAGACAAATACCGTATACTAACACATATATATGGAATCTAAAAAAAAAAATGGTTCTGAACCTAAGGGCAGGACAGGAATAAAGACACAAACGTAGAGAATGGACTTGAGGACACGGGTGGGGGAAGGGTAAGCTGGGACGAAGTGAGAGAGTGGCATGGACATATCTACACTACCAAATGTAAAATAGACAGCTAGTGGGAAGCAGCCGCATAGCACAGGGAGATCAGCTCGGTACTTTGCGACCACCTAGAGGGGTGGGATGGGGGGGCGGGAGGGAGGCGCAAGAGGGAGGAGATATGGGGATATATGTATACGTATAGCTGATTAACTTTGTTATAAAGCAGAAACTAACACACCACTGTAAAGCAATTATACTCCAATAAAGATGTTAAAAAAAAGAAAAAAAAGAATGGGACTAGGACATTTGTGTCACCTACAAGAGTATTTCAAGTAAGCATTACTTTTATAATGCTTCATAACAAGCAAGCATTACTTTTCTAAATTTTATAAACTGAAATTTAGTTAAAAGTTCTGGGAAAAGAAGAGCTAGACCTTGCTAGATGCTACGAGAGGACAAACATTGATATCAGGCTCATCAGAACAGATCTGCTATTACCTGACAAGAATGAAAACGTACCATTTCATAGTGCTTTTAAAGTCAAGATCCGGAGCACCAAAATGGCTTCCCTGAGACTTACTCACCCCTTCCTCCCAGTTACTCACTGCTTCTGCCATAAGCATAAACCAGGACCCACCCAGGACTCTTTGAAACATGCAACACTTATAAAGCCTACTGGTTCTGTGAAAATGGCTCAGTGCCTGGCTATGGGTTTTGCAGGCAGCCTAAGAACTTCAAGAGTCTTGTCTGTCTCAATCAAAGCCAATGTGAATTCTGCCCAGAGTTCATCCCAAACATGCAGTTTAACACAGACAGACCAGCACAGATGTACCCCCCCCCAAATAGGAATTCTCTCTCTGTCAACATGCTAAATTAATTTCCAATTCAGGGACTTCGCTGGCGGTCCAGCGGTTAGGACTCTGCACTTTCACTGCTGAGGGCCCCGGTTGGGGAACTAAGATTCCACAAGCCGTGTGGCGTGGCAAAAAAATGTTTTTTAATTTAAAAGACTCTTTTTTCCAATTCAAAAGGTTTTATTTTCAATCAATACTATTAGATTTATATATCACATTCAGTGTAAAAGGGTTGATATGTTATTTCAAGATGAAAAAAAACATGTCAATATAACTCTTCCCAAAAGGCAAAAATAAGAATTCATAAAACCTGTATCACTTGAGGTACTTTAGGCATAAATTCACAACTTTGTTATAATTCACTATAAATACATGGGGTGCATTTATGGGGGTCCCAATTTAAGAAACATATGATTTGGCCATGCATAGATAATTGTCAGAACTGGGCAAGGACTACATGAGGGTTCATTATACTAATATGTGTACCTGTGTATGTTTCAAATAAAGTTAAACAGGAAGCAATTTATTTAAATGATAACAAGGCACCAACATCACTTTTTCTCAATTTTACATTAATGAAAAATCCAAGTTTTAAAAATTCATATTTAATGTTCAAATATGTATTAGAATAGTAATTTTTAAATGGTGAGGACCTTATTCAGAACCTGTAATTCTTATCACTAACATTCAAATATTTATTGAGTACCTACTATGTTGTACATACTAGAGAGGATTAGATAAATTTGACACAACTACCCTCAAAGAGCTTACAGTGCAGTAGAAGATATGACATATACATGAAAAACCATAAGACAGTGTGAAACTATTTTAAAAATACAGAAAAAGTATTATGGGAGTTTAGGAGGGTACTCAAACTCTCACTCAGAAGCCTTGCTTGCACCTAGACCACTGACAATAAGAAATAACAGAAGATATAATTCAATAGACAGGAATTTGTTTTAATCATCCCAAGCACCAAAGCTTCATATTAAACAGGGCTAATAATCTCAATCTCTAGAAGAGCTAGAGAGAAATATACTTGGTGGCCTTTAATCTTATCAGCCCTTATTTGTTCCATCTGATATTGGTTAATATCTGGTATTAATTAACCCCATCTAACATGGATTAGTTAACAATCCAGTGGGTACTCTGATAGGAAGGGATTGCAATATGTTTAATTATATAAAAATGCATTCAGCACCCACCTTGATTAAGGTACTATGCAATAGATTTTGTAGGGGGATACAAAGATGATTATAAATTTAGAGCCTTCAAAGAGCGTATAATCTAATGGAAAAGACATATACACATACAACTAACTATACAGCACATTAAAGCTTATAATCTGTACCAAATCTAACTTCACAAGCCCACAAACGTGTGATTATCAAAAGTGGTTATACACACTAAAGATAAACATGGAACCCAAGGTCAGCCAGCACCAATGACTCCCTCCTAAAGCAATATCAAGCTTAAAGTAGTCATTATATTCTGTTGCCTAGGATATAAACTGAGTAAATTAGACTGGTATGTCTCTGATACTGAATTAGCACAGCCTTCTAAATCAACTAGGCAATAGCAATGCCCAACTTTGTATATGAGTATAAATCACATCTGTTTTATTATTTGTGACTTGGTGTTGCATGTCTAAGCACGTGGTTATTACCAACACCTTCTAAAAGAACTGCATTAGTCTGCCACAACAAAATACTGTAGACCGGGTGGCTTAAACAACAGTAATTTATTCCCCACAGTTCTTTAGGCTGGGAAGTCCAAGATCAAGGGGCCAGCAAAGTAGGTTTCATTCTGACGTCTCTTCTCTTGGCTTGTAGGCAGCCATCTTCTCCTAGCTATCTGTGTGCTGAGCGCTGGGGCTGGAAACTCTCCGGTGTCTTTCTTAAAAGACCAGGGCCCCACCCTCATGACCGTACCTAATCCTAATTACCTTCCAAAGGCCCCATCTCCAAATACCATCACATTGGGGGTTAGAGCTTCAACATATGAACTTAACATAAAATGGCTGAAGATCGCAAAGAAGGTCCTGGATGGCTTTGGGGAGGGCCCAACCCCAAAATATTTGGGGGAGAGCCCTGGAGGGGCTGGAAGTGGTAAACAAATGAAATGTGGTTTCTCTGCAGATCCACCTTTCCTACTCTGATTTCCAGTTCAGCCAGAAATGGCCAAAGGATAGGTTATTAATAGCTCTCAGTTACTTACCATTTACCCAGACAGTTCAGAAATCTGACTGCATCTCCTCAGAGCTTTAAAACATAGCTCTCAAATTCTAACCTATCTGTAATATACTTGTTAATGGTAAAATCTACAAGGCACTTTTATTAATATGAAAGATTATTGAAAATGTAACATTACTACATATCTTTTGTCTATTTGCTATCATAAATTACCAAAATAATTTTATTTTCCAGTAAAACTGAAGCCACAAATTCTTAATAACTATGTGTCACATCGATAATAATGGTTTCCATACATGAAAAATTTTGTGGTTTACACATGTCTAATTACAGAGATATACTATCTAAAATTACAGTAAGCATGGAAATTAACTCGAGCTAAGACAACACATGCAACATCAATTCATCATCTGTGAGCAGGATTGCTTAAGCCTGTTTGTGGTCAAAAAATGACAATGTTCCTGGGTCCAAACAAGACTAAATGGAAGTGAGGAAGCGAGTCTTTAAAAATATGAATTAAAAGATGTACAGTAATAGATAAAATACATTTTATTTTATTCCTAGTAACCAACAATAATTCCAAGCTTCTAGAATAGGCAGAAATGGCTAGGTGGCATATTTTTACCTTTTATATTCAGACACTTTAAAATTCTCAGAAAAACCCAAAGCAGATGTGTCATCCCCTTGGGATAATTTGTGACAACTCAGGATATCATAAGACCAAAATTATGAACTACTGATGCATTTATCCCTAAATGTGAGAAGAATTAAAAGGTTTACAAGAATCTAAGGGTTACAAGAATTAAAATCAGCATTCTATCCAACTCAGGGATAAATTATTACCTGCTTCTACGTAAGCGGGCCCATAACTACTATCTAATACTATCATCTTTCCTTTCCAGTGTGCACAGTGGAACAACAGGCATGTTAATTCTGGGCAAAACATAAATGCCTATCAATTATCAGAAGCACAGTGCTGAAGATAGTAGTTTCATAGCAATCTGAAGTGTTTGTTTGAATTCTTATTAGTAGCAAGTTATTCTAAATGTTTGTTAGTAATTTGGTAGCCACTGGCAGGAAAATAACAATCCAGTCTCAATATTAACGATGGTGGTTGACACTTTTATAGCATATAAATCTTACCAATGCACACAATATACAATTACAGATAGGAAGAAGAGCACACTAGCACATCTTTATCATCTCTTCACAGGGGAAAAGAATGACATGGCCCAGTTACTGCCTAGTGAACTACAGAAATCTAAAAGAGAACTTCAAGACCCCTCTTCTCTGCTGATCTGGTTGGTCCTTTTGTCTTTTTCCTACCTCCTGCCTATGGACTTTCTGTGACACCTAGATACAAAAAATGGACAGAAAACAATTAAGATGAATCTACAGTATGCATGTCACGTTAATCAATTTGTAGAATGAAACCCCCAAACTCAACTGCTCCATTTTTTGGTGGTCACCAAGAATAATTTTGGTCTACATTGTCAGTCTAAACCCTGATGATAACAATGATAGGGTTGTGGACCAAAAAAATGCACTATTTTATCAATTCTGTGAAAATTATTAGCAGGGTAAGATTTAAGTCCAGTTAATAAGGGTTACATTTCTAGCACTACCATCCTGAAATTTAGAAGATATTTTATCCACATAATGTATATCTGATGTTTCACAATAACTTGCAAAAATTCAGAAGCTTGTTCTTTGTTCAAGTGTGTCCAAGTTTACCCTGGAAGTTTAGATAGTTACAAGTAGCATGGGTCATATCAGGCAGATCTGCAGGTCAATTTCATCTAAGTGATACTGGGCAAGTTATCAATAGTTCACCAATCTGTGCCTCCAAGGTCACACTAGTGTTTATCTCTCTCCCTCCTATTATGTATCTTTAGGGCAGTTATATTAGATAATGTTGCAAAATATTTACTTCAATGCCTAAAGCATAGTAAGTACTAAATAAATATCTACTACTGTCACTATGAACCTAAGAGTGGAGAGGTTAAGAGCAGACTCTGGGGCCAGATAGCTTAGATTCAAATCCTAGTATTGCTGGGTAATCTTGGGAAAGTTACTTAACCTCTCTGAGCCACATAAATTTTTTAAATAAATATCAAACCAGTTAATATGTGTAAAGGGCTTAGTAACCAGCACACAGTAAGCACTATTTAAGTGTCCGTCACTGCTAACATGAAGACAATTTCTGGGATGGAAATAAAAAAAGGAACAGGAATTTGCAAACCGAAAACACAATGAATATCTTGATGCTCAAACAAAACTAACAGCCAGTTCTAGCAAAAATAATTCACTATATGCTGGTGCAGCCATTGGACCCCAAAGCTTAAAAGCATCTAACTTCCTCAGCAACTGAATAAAAACAGTTGAGTATCTACTATTAGCATAACATTTAAGTGTATGGGCCCTCCTTGAGAGAGACCTAGGTTTGAGTCTGAGCTCCTCTTAATAACTGTGTGACACTGGGTATGTTACGTTAAGAGGTTAAGTTACTTAACCTCTCACTGAGGCTTCAAGGATTCCTCATCTGTAAAACGATAATCATACTTTTGTTAGAGGGTTGTTTTGAGGACTAAACAGGACTATGTAGGTAAACACATCGATAGATATTATTACTATTCCCAGTCAGGAACCACGCAAAGGTTGTTCATTCACAAAGACCGGCTGTCCTTTCAATAACACCATGAGGTAGTTAGCACCTCAGTTATACATAAGACACTTAAATCCAGAAAGGTAGTTACCCAAGGCTACACAGCTAGTAAATAACCCACGCAAGCAGGATCCCAGGCCAGACTCCATTAAGAGCACTACTCTTTACCTTAAGTCACAATGCCTAATATGAACTAGAACCCTTCCCTTTTTAGGGCTCAAGTGGTTAATTATTTAATGTATTCATCCAACAGACCATCACTGAGAATTTCTTGCATGCCAGGCACTGTACTACACGCTGGGGTTACAGCGGTGATTCCTGCCCTTATAAAGTTTATGTTTTTGTGGGAGAGACAATCAACAGGTAATAAGGTAACTGCTAAAATAATAATAATAATAATAGCAATAATGCAGGCTAAGGCATTTAACTATTGAGAGAGGGTTGGCTATTTTAGCAAGCGTGATCAAAAAGGGAGGGTAAGGGGAGGGAGCAGCTTGGCTTGTTCGAGAAACAAGGAAAAGAACCAATGAGGCTGGAGACAGGATACCAAAGACGGATTATGGTGCCAATGCCCTTGAAGGTAAGGACCAGATTCGCATTTTTTGTCCCCTGCAGCATCAAAGTGCATAGGATCCGGATTCAAGCAGATCTGATTACGAGGCCTGGCTACCTCTGGGCCGTGGGAAAGCTACCTAATATCGGCTAACTACTTTCTACGTGTGTAAAAAGGTAGGCATGGTTACCGCTGCCAAGGCTGCCGTGAGGATGCAATGAGGCAATGCGCATTCCCACAAATAATCATTACAATGTCTGCAAAACTAGATTAAAATACCAGTCCCCGCATGCCTCCCATGTGGTCGTTTCCGTGCTCCTGGTCCCTCTCACGGAGCTGCCCCGAGGACCTCACCCACACACCGCAAATCGACAGGGAAGAGCCCCTCCTAAGAAAGCTCCCACCCTCACCCCGCCAGATCATTCCCGAACTGGCCCACGGCCCCTCCCCATAGCACGCTCGCAAGCGGCACATGTCAACCAAAACGCCATTTCCACCCTCTCCTCCCACACGCAGCCCTCCTTCCCGGGGCTCTCCAGAGGCGGCCACCCCGACCTCACCGTTCCATCCCCCCAACCGCCCGGGTGTGACGCGCGGCCGAACCCAGGAGGCTGCGGCCGCCCCCGCCCCCCGGCCCCGGGCCACGCCGACCCGAGCCCGCACTGCGGCCCCGCGTCTCGGGGAACGGCCGCCGCCGCCACGGGCCTGGCGGGCCAGGCTGCTCACCACGACGCTGGGGCTGCGGGTCGCCATAACGGAGCCGGCTGGTGCGCGGGCTGAGGGCAGTCTGAGGAGGAGGAAGCCGGTGGCGGGGCCGAGAAGAAGGCGGAGGCGCGGCAGGAGGCGGCGCCGCGCGGGAAAGCAGAGTAGTCCGCCCGAGCGCTCCTCGCCGCCGCCGCCGCCGCCGCCGCCGCCGCCGCTAAGAGCTCAAGCGCAGCAGGCCCCGCCCCCGCTCCGCCCCGAGGCCCCGCCCATAACGGCCGCGCGCTCCCCGCGCCCCTCCGTGGGAGCCTGCGGGTTTCCACGCTCCCGAGGTGGCCGTGGGAATTTTCTTCCCAAAGAAGCGGAGACTCCCGCGCAGCCTCTCTTCCTCTTTCCCTCAGTCTCCCATCCAGAAGGCTCCCAAATTCCCAGACCTGCCACCGCCCTCCTTTCTTCCCAGTGGCCCTAAACTGGGCGCCGGCTCTTCAGGTTCCTTGGACTGCATTGCGGCTTCCATTTTCCTGACTCGTGGCCGGATTCTAACAAAAATCTTTAACTGGATATAAGAGTTGAGACCTAGAGCCCTAGAGTCAGCCCGATAAGGGTACAAATGTGAGGGGAACCCTTAACTGTTCTGTGACCTTGTGCGAATCAGGCTCACTGAGCCTCTCTTTTTCGTCTCAGTAAAATGGGGATATTATTAACAAGGATCGTTGAGGATTAAAGAAGATGATGTGTACGTATATGGTGTGTGCATATGTGTATATATATATATATATATATATATATATGGTACAGCACTTAGGACAGTGCACCATCAGTAAATGGGAACTATCACCTTTGCTGATCTATATTCTTTGCCACCACAATTCCCGATACGGAAATGGGTGAAAAAATCTTCCCCGACTCTCCAATAGGTCGAGTAAGCAAATAAGAGTTGTTCCATTCCTAACGTGCTCATCTGTGTAGCTCCAGCACCCACCACAGTGCCCAGCACAAAGTTGGTGGCCTCCATTAAGGCCACTGAGGGAAATGTGATGGTAGGTGATTTGTGAAACGGGGTAAGTCATTGAACTCGGAGCTTCAGTCTCTTTCTCTAAAAAATAGCGCTGCTATGAACTTTTTTGTTTTTTTACGTATCTTTTGGTGAACATGAGTGCATTTCCATTGGGCATATAGACTTTGAAGTTCGTATTAGCACATTTTTATTACTTATTCTTTTAACAATCATTGTTTCACTGGGAAATTAATTCAGAGAACTTTCGGTTATACATTTGGCCCCTGACACAAATGGACTCAGCCACCCACACTGGTTTCTCAATTAGATACCAACAGTTCAGAACCCTTCCAGCTTGCTTCTGGCTTGCAGTTTCTTTCTCCAGCCCCTATGGTACCACATACTCCTGTATTTTAACAGAGATTTGAAATAAATGGTGAAAGCCCAGTGACTTTAAAGACAAAGAAACAGTCATTATTTCAACCCTGTCATTCTAGGTGACAACTTGGAGCTTTTACTTGTGTTTAAAATTTAACACAGCAAACAGAGTGCAGTCTACAAGACGTAATCCTTTTGTTTGGTAAGTGAAAATCTGGTTAATGTATGAAATATTTTACTGAATTTGGACAATGTATTTAAAATTGAAATGTATTCTTTTAAATTTTTAATTGTTTTAAAACTAAAGATGAAATCAAGAAAATAATGGTTTTTACTAATTATTACAGAAAATAATTTTGTCAGACAAAATAATTTTCTCGTATAATTTTGTCATTCTGGGTGTCAAATATGCTATGTATGCCACCGATCTTTACTAGAATATCTGCATGAAGGAAGAAATAAGGAAAGCATGGGTATAACCCAAGATTCCCCTGCCCCACTCCTGACTTTCCAGAAACAGTTTTGTAATCCACTTATGTGGACATAATGAGGAATTATTTCTGTACCACAACCAGTTCTGAGTATATTTCTGCTCCACACATTTCTTCGCTTAGTAAAAACCTTGTTTTTACCATGGTGCTGTGGTCCACCAAAATTTGTATTTCTATTAAAAAAAATTATCACTGCAACAATACTTATCCTAGGGCTTCCCTGGTGGTGCCGTGGTTAAGAATCCACCTGCCAATGCAGGGGACACGGGTTCGATCCCTGGTCCGGGAAGATCCCACATGCCACAGAGCAGCTAAGCCCGTGCACCACAACTACTGAGCCTGCGCTCTAGAGCCCATGAGCCACAACTACTGAAGCCTGTGCACCTAGAGCCCGTGCTCCACAAGGAGAAGCCACTGAAATGAGAAGCCCGCACGCCGCAACAAAGAGTAGCCCCCACTAGCTGCAACTAGAGAAGGCCCGTGTGCAGCAGTGAAGACCCAATGCAGCCAAAAATAAAAATAAATTTATTTAAAAAATACTTATCCTAAATGTTGAATTTTCAAACTGAATTTACAATAGCTTTCTCAATGTCAGATGTTTCGCCTTCATCAGAATAAATTCCCATTAGCTTTACTTTGATTCCATGAATTGGATGACAAATTGAACCATTACTGGAATTAACCAATGTGATGGTTAATTTTTATGTTTCAACTTGGCTTGGCCATGGTGCCCAGATATTTGGTCAAACATTATTCTGGATGTTTCTGTGAAGGTGTTTTTTTGGATGAGATTAACATTTAAATCAGTGGACTCTGAGTAAAGCAGATTACGTTCCCTAATGTGGGTAGGCCTCATCCTATCATTTGAAGGCCTGAATAGAACAAAGGCTGACCTCCCCTGCAGGCAAGAAGGAATTCTGCCGCCTTTTTGGACTGGAACTGCACCTCTTCCCTGTGTCCAGCCTGTTGGCCTTCTCCATCAGATTTTGGACTCGCCAGGTCTCTACAACCGTGTGTGCCAATTCCTTAAACTCTCTCTCTCTCTCTCTCTCTCTCTCTCCACACACACACACACACACACACACACACACACACACACACACACATATCCTGTTAGTTCTGTTTCTCTGGAGAACCCTGACTGATATAACTGATTTTCGATTTGAATCATCTCACGATATCAATATAAAACTGACATCATTTAACTGTGAAGTCCTCCTGCAAATAGAGCTACTTATTAAAAGGTATTGTTTCACTTTTCATCATGTACAAGGAAACCTGAAATCAAAAATGAGTAAATGAATTTTGAAGAAGTTATTTGATCTAAAAAAAGTCATTCACGAGCAATATGAAGATACCCTCTCTGCAGCTGCATCTTGTTAAATCACCTTTGCTGCACGGCCTTCTTAAAATAAGTACAAACCTTTGAGGTAGATGATGCTGTCTCTGTAGACATGTCTTCTGGTTTTCATGTAGTCAGTGATAATAACTATCAAAAATGTTTTGTTCATGTTACACATTCATGATCAACTTTCTTGAATAACAAATTTGGTATTTTTTATCAGTTATGCACTTCAGTTTTTTGAACCCATGCTGAAAGGGTGGACTGCAAATTTAAAAAAATAAGGGTTGTAGATTTGCAACATATAATGAATGACATAACCATTGTACCAAGAGCATTCAGATTACTCGCTGTATTACGTTCTATGGCAGGACATATTTCTGCCTCTATTTCCTGAATGTATTTTACATACACGTAAATATGTAATTCCCTGTGTCCACTGGCCTACTGACTGGTGGCCTAGCAGCTTCTTGTATCTTGCAGGTTTTGGCACGGGCTCACCCAGCTGGCACATCCAGTGTCCAGCAAGGGGCACAGTGGTGAATACTGCCCGCCCCCAATCCCTACCCAGGACAAGAATGAGTCGGTTGTCTTTAACTCCTAGTGTCAGTGCACTTGCTTTGTTATCAGTGAACACCCAGCACACTGTCCTTGAGAGGGAGCTGTTAGTTACATTGTATTTGGAAAAACTTAGGAAAAGGGAGAAGAGTTATCACTGGTTGTTGTTTAGGTTTAACTCTCTGTTAAAGTGAGAATTTGGTTCTCTGTACATGCATCTCACAAGCTAGTACATGAGACCAAGGCAGAAGCTGGAATTAAAAAGTGGTGATGCAACAGACCCATCCTGGCTTATTTCAATTCAACTATTAATACACTTCGTGGGAAAATGAAAAATCTGGGACAAATGCTAAACTGGACAAGATGCCGGGATAACACATAAACTGGGAATGTTTTGGGCAAACTGGAACGTATATACCTACAATGTATATACCTACAATGGTATAGGGCCAGCTGGGGGATGCTTTCCAATGCTGCTGATGGCAGCTCTTCAACTGAAGTCCCCCAATTTCTGAGAGTTTTCTCCCTCTCCAGTTCACTTTGGCCACCTGCCTAATGTTAAGCATGCTTCAGATCCACGGGAGACCTCCAATTCCACGGTCTATCACCCTGTTCTCGGCTTCCCTTACATCCCTGACTTCCCAGTTCAGTTTGCATCCCACATGAACCACTCTCTCACCACTGCCAGAAGTCCTTTGTGCCCTTCTAATTCTGCTCTGCCACAATGGCAAAGCCACACCCTGGCTCAACCCACAGCCTGTTTTGTCTACCCGTTAGGCTGTGGAGGGCTGTAGGAGAAAACCCCGCAACCATGGGGGTTGGTTCCTCTACAGATTCACGGTCTCAAACCTCAACTGGGCCCTAAACACCCCTCCACAATCCTTCACAAGTGCTTGGTCAGCTCCCCGTCTTGTTCCCCTCAGTAATGCTCTTAACATTCATCCCTATTCAACCCCATCAAATTCACTCTAGAATGAAGACTCAACCCATTAACTTATGAAGAGAGGGAAGGAATCAGGCCTGAATCACATCAGTTCCTTCCACCCACATCTACACTGCTTCTTCCCCTTTATCCTCCAGGCCCAGAGGTGATGAGTCTCTCCATATTTGCTCTATCTACTTTCTCACTTCCCATCTCCTCTCAACAAACTTTCATTGTCTTCTGCATCCACCGTTGGACTGAAACAGCTTTGACAAAGAACACCACTGACTGCTATCTTGCCAAATCCGATGGGCACTATCTTTGGCCTTGTATAACTGTCCTTCACATTGCATTTGATACTGTTTATCACTTTGTTCTCTGCCATCTCTTTGGCTTCTGGAACACCACCTTCCTGATTCTCCTGCTGCCCTATTTCTTCTTGCTTTCTCTCTCAAAGTTTCCAGTATACCCTTCCCCAGTGTTAACATCCAATACAACCACACCCAGTACAATG